AACTTCAGTATCTTCAGGTGTAAAATGGGAATGAGAATAATACTGTAGGGACAATTCAATGAGGTAATATATGTATAAAAAAAGTCTGGTACATAGTAAGCATTCAATATATGCTAAATTTCATTACTACCTAAGAAAAATATTGATGACCAAGTCACTCCACCCCTGCTTAAGAAGGGTGATAAGCCAGTTCTCTACCCCTGGTATGGGCCCTATCTGTAATCTGGTAACCGTATCAGAGCCCATATAAGCAGGATTTGAGTCTCTAAGTACCCAGATCAAGCATTCTCAGTTTTCAGACCTAGCTTGCATTAGCAATATGGCAGATCCTAGCATCACACTCTTGTTGGCAGTGTAATTACTGAGGGGGAAATAATACTCATCATTTGTGGGCCAATCTTGCTATCTCCAGTCTCTCACTTCAGTTTCCAGAACAATCTTGCTCACATCCAGTTTTTATCACATCACCTATATTGCTCAAGAAACCAGTTACTCCTCTTTGCTTAGTAGGTCAAACCTAAGCTCACCTGCCTAGCATTTGAAGCCCTTTTCTCTCTCCCTCCCCCAAGGATTTAATTTCTCGCCCCTCTAGGCAGGCTTACAAATTTTAGCCCTGGGGTAACTGCTTAAAACAAAAACAGTCTTATTGAGGTACCACACAATAAAACTGTACCTATTTAAAGTGCACCATTGCTAAGTTTTTTACATATGTATACACCTATGAAGCCATCACAGTTAAGATAGTGAAAATATCCATCACCACCAACCACCTAAATTTTCTTTCGCCCCATTGTAATCCCTCCTTCTCTCCCCAAACAACCGCAGATCTGCTTTCTGTTACTATAAATGAGCTTATCTTTCCTAGAACTTCATATAAATGGAATCATAAAGTATGTGCCCTTTGAGGGGGTGTCTGTCTTCCTTCCATATACTAGTATGTTGAGTTTCACCCATGCTTTTTGTGTATCAGTAGTCAATTCCTTTCAATAGCTAAGTAGTTATATAGCACATATTGTTTCTCCAATCATCAGTTGATAGACATTTGGGTCATTTCCACTTTTTGCCTATTATGAATGATGCTGATATAAACATGCTTATACAAATATTTTGTTTGGTTGTTTTTGTTAATCCTCACCTGGGAGTATTTTTTCCATTGATTTTTAGAGAGAATGGAAGGGAGAGAGGGAGAGGGAGAGAAAAAAGGAGAGAGGGAGAGGGAGAGGGAGGCTGGGGATTGAACCTGCAACCCAGGTACATGCCCTTGACTGGGAATGGGTCCTGTGACCCTTTGGTGCTTGGGCTGACGCTCTAATCACTGAGCATACACGCAAGGGCACATGTACAAATGGAATTGCTGGGCCATATGATAACTCCATGTTGAACCACTTGAGGAATTGCCAGACTGTAGCCTTTTACAGTGATTGTAGCATGTTAATGATTGTAGCATTTTACATCCCCAACAGCAGGATACAAGAGTTCCAGTTCCTCCACATCTTGCTTGAGGCCTTTCTTTAGCCACCATCTCCTCAATGTCATTTTTTGTTGCTTCCCTCTCCCCCAGGAGTTTCTTCCCATCTACTCCTTTGGCGGTCTCATTCAGTCTCTTGGCTTTAAATGCCATCTATCTGCTGATGACATCCAAATTTCTGTCTGCAGTCACCACTCTCCCCTGAATTCCAGACTTACCCAGTTTGCCCAGGACAGTTCTGGTTTATGCTTATTATTGTGACATTAGACATTAATATTAATAGTGTTCTATTAATTTTCTATTGGTGCTATAACAAATTACTGCAAACTCAGTTGCTTAAACAGGACAAATTTATTATCTTACAGTTTGGGAGATCAGAAGTCTGATGTGGGTCTCGCTGGGCTAAAATCAAGGTGTCTGGCTGGAATGTGTCTCTTTTTGGTGTCTGTCAGGGAAAGTCTGTTTCCTGGCTCATTCAGGTTATTGGCTGCATTCAGTTCCTTGTGGTTGTAAAACTGAAGTTCCCATCTTGCAGTCAGCTGAGGGTTATTCTCAGCTTCTAGAGGCCACCCCCATTCCTTAGGTCCTGGGCTCCTTTGTCTTCAAAGTCAGCAAAAGTGAGTCAAGTTCCTCACTTGCCCAATTTCTACTGCCTCTTGTTCTGTCCCACTCTTCCACCTTTCTCTTCCAATTTTAAGGACTTGTGATTAGATTGGGCCCACCCAGATAAACCATGATACTCTCTCCATCTCAATGTCCTTAACCTCAATCACATCTACAAAGTCTCATTTGCCATGTAAGGTAAATGTTCACAGGTTCTAGGGATTAGGGTGTGGACAACCTTGTGTGTGTGTGTGGGGAGGCAGTGTCATTATTCTGTCTACCACAACTGTATTGGACAATTACACAGTCTATGTTCCAGACAACTGTCTACTTGGATGTCTCATGGAGCATTTCGAATTTAACATGTCCAAAAGTGACCTTTTAATTTATTCTACACCAGCGGTTCTCAACCTGTGGGTCGTGACACCTTTGGCGGTCGAACGACCCTTTCACAGGGGTCGCCTAAGTCCTGTATATCAAATATTTACATTATGATTCATAACAGTAGCAAAATTACAGTTATGAAGTAGCAACGAAAATAATTTTATGGTTGGGTCGCAACATGAGGAACTGTATTTAAAGGGCCAGAAGGTTGAGAACCACTGTTCTACACCAAAACACTGGCCCTCACCAGTCTTCCCCGCATTAGTAAATGGCAACATTATCTACCTTGTCAGTCAAGTCTAAAGCCAAAAACTGCCCTGGCCCGTTTGGCTCAGTGGTTAGGGGGTCTCAGGTTCAATTCCCAGTCCTGGTCAGGGCGCACGCAGGAGGCAACCAATTGGCATGTCTCTCTCACAATGATGTTTCACTCTCTGTCTCTCTCCCTCCCTTCCACTTTCTCTGAAAATCAATGGAAAAAAATCCTTGGGGGATGATTAACAAAGAAACAAACACCAAACAAAAAAGCCAAAGACCTAGGTGCCATTTTGAGGCCTTCTTTTTATTCCCTATATTCAATCGCTCAGCAAATCCTGCTGAATCCAACTCCAAAATATGTCTTGAATCTATTCACTTCTCTTTATCTTTAAAAAAAATATATATTTTTATTGATTTCAGAGAGGGAGAGTTAGAAACATCAATGATGAGAGAGAATCATTAACCAGCTCCCTGCTGCACCCCCCCTACTGGGGACTGAGCCTGCAACCCGGGCATGACTATGACCTCCTGGTTCATAGGTCGACATTCAGCAAGTGAGCCACACCGGCCAGGCAACTCCTCTCCATCTTTATTGCTACTATTCTAGCCTAAGCCATCGTGTCTTACTTGGACTTTGTAACATAGTCTCTTATCTGTTCTTCCCACTCACAGCCTTGCTTCCTTCCAATCTATTATCCACACAGCAACCAGAAGGAAATTTTTACAATGAAAATCAAATTGTATCTTCTCTACATAAAAACCTTCAATGACTCCCCACTGCATTTAGAGTAAAGTCTAACTTCTTCCTATGGCCCAAATGGCCACATATGATCCGGCCCTCTATCCAATGTCATCTCATACAGTCTCTCCTTCACTCACACACTGGCTACACTCACCCATTTTCTGTTCACTAAGTCCTCCCAACTACCAGCACCACTTTGGCATCTTCTGCTTTCTCAGGCAGGAATGTTCTTCCTAGTTCTTTGCATGGTTGGCTCATTCTCACCCTCCAGGTCTCATCTCAAATGTCACATCTCAGAGCGGCCTTCCCTGGCTTCCTGATTTAAAATATTTGCCTCACTCCCACATTATTTCTATAATAAAGTGCCCTGTTTATTTTCCTCATAACATTACAATATGTTGATTTGTTTATTTCTTTATTGATAGCTACTTTCACTAGAATGCAAGCTCCAGGCGGGCAAGAATGTTATCTGACTTATGTACCACTGTGTCCAGAGTGCCCAGCAGCTGAATAAATACATGAAGCTAGTGTTCTTCCGCTCTCCCAACACCTTTTGCTTGTTTCCATCTCTGTGACACTGCACATGACCTGCCTTCAACCTGCAATATCCTCCAACTTATTCTTTTTTTGTGTTGTTGTTAATCCTCACCTGAGGATATTTTTTCATTGATTTTTAGAGAGAGTGGAAGGGAGGGGAAGAGACACACAGAGAGAAAAACCTCAGTATTAGAAAGATACATCACTTGGTTGGCTACTGCAAGTGCCTGACCAGGTCTGGGGATTGAGCTTGCAACTGAGGTACATGCCTTTGACCGGAATCAAACCCAGGACCCTTCAGTCGATGCTCTATCCACTAGCCAGGGCTCCAACTTATTCTTGACCAATTAATATCCTCTCACTTTCTTCAAATTTAGTTCAAGCCCTAGCTGGTTTTTCTGTGTATAGAGCGTCGGCCTGCCCACTGAAGAGTCCCGGGTTTGATTCCAGTCAGGGGTACATGCCCGGGTTGTGGGCTTGATCCCCAGTGTGGTGTGTGAAGGCAGCCGATCAATGATTCTCTCTCATCATTAATGTTTCTATCGCTCTCTCCCTCTCCTTTCCTCTCTGAAATCAATAAAAATATATCAAAAAGCCACTTAGTTTAAGACTCATTACCTCCAAAATGCCCTGTTCATTACTGGCCCTTCTCACCTGATGGTCCCGTTAATCATTGATTCAGTAAGTATACACAGAACCCCTTAGCAATTTTGCAAACAGCCATTACCACATTATCATGCCTTTGCTTGTATTTGCTTTGTAATCATAGTCATTTCATGTATGTAGTTAAGTTTTGTTCCCGAAGACTGTAAGTTACTCCTGGGTCAATATTGCATCACACTTTATATAATTCAGCTAAAGCACTTAGTCCAGTTTGGTGCACACTGCCAGCCATAAAGCAGAACACTCCTTTTATAGCCCAGAGAAAATGCAAATAGCTGGAAGTTCATTTTAGGAACAGAGCTAGTCTTTTAAAGAGTTGTTTTGAAATTAGAAAAAGGAGGCATATGCTTTTCCCTCTTTACTTTATTTAAAAATATCAAAACAACAGCTCCAAAAACATTACTGTGTGTAGCAGTAGCAAGAATTTAGCTATCTATTTCATCATACCTGTGGAAGAATGCACAGAAGATATGAGGTAAGTAAACTGAGGTTAAGATTTTAGATTTAGTTATAATTTTTTTTGCAGCTCTCACAATGTCAAAAAGTAGTTCACCTCAAGGGAAATAGAGAATAACAAACATGAACTAGTCACTCCAGGTAAAGAGTTTCCACCCTCCAAACTCTAAAGGATTGGGCTACCAATGAGATTTTCATGTGTGTATTAACTGCTATTCCCCATGAAACACAATCTGTCATGGCAATTGGAAAAATGAGTTATTTTGGTATATTTCAATAGGACAAGGTTCTGAGAGTTTAAAGATTTTGGCCAGTACATATTTTACCATAGTTTTATAACTCAGATTAGTAATAATAAGTGACCAACACATAATTTTTATTTGGAAATAAAAAGGTTTAATAGGGAAAATACTTTTAACATACTTGCGTATGTATAAATTAGTATCATAATATTAGATATTTTTAATGCAAAGACTGGCACTATTTGAAAGTACAGTTCTATAAACTTGACATAGAATCTCCAAGGTGGAACAATCCAAAATTTGACTTTTTAAAAATCTGGTAGACATGATTAGCCTAAAGTGTTTGCTCAGTTATTTATGTTTTTTTGGTATGTGTGTCAAATGCTCTATTTGATCCTTTCTAGGCAACTGGGACATCTTCTGAGAATAACTTAAGTTGACTAAATAATTTATTTTCAGGGTAGGCTTGCAAAGCAAGTAAAAAAGGCAGAGAATTCAGGCCACTTACACTGTACATGACTGCAATTCAAAGAAGGCCTTTTGGAGCATAATTAGGCAGTCATGATAAAAACTGCCTTCCTGAAACAAGATTTAAGCCTGGGATGCTTCAAATTTAGCTAAAGGATGGTTCTACTATGACACTCATAATGTTTAAACGTTAAATATTTTCAATTAGCTTCTGAGAAGGATAATTTACACTGTGGTGTGTGCACTCAGGAGTCAGCAAAACTTATGAGTTCCAGAGCGATTATATTAGGAATCCTCAGGTCAAATTGAGCAAAACTAAGCTGATGTGGGTTAGTACAAGCTGTGACGCTGTGACTGAGAGCATGACGTGGTCTCTGCTCAGCCACTTCAACTACATGTTGCTTTGAGGTGTCACAGGAATGCCCTTTCTTTGGTACTGTGTAAATAGCACATATCATTACTGCTAGCTTTTGTTATAAAATCTGGTGGAATGCCATCAGGAGACGGTCATGTTGGGAAACCTTCCTGAGCTGCAGGTGTTCCCAGGGACATCAGTTTGGAGCTCAGAGGTGGCCTATGGCTGAGTCTTCTCATTTCCAAGAGCAGCAGACACGAGTATCCTCTCCTCACTCCACAGTTGCGCAATTTTGAAGCTAAATTTATCCGTGATTGCAAAACGCCTTCGGTCAGTGCACTTCTAGTTTCATTCAGTTTTAAAGAGTTGGTTTTCTAGAATTTAGTTTTCCAGTTTTGAAGAACTTCTTTAATTCCCGTAATTCCTGGGGTTTCAAACTCTGATCCACCCCTGGGGTCAATTTATAGCTCAGAGGAGACACAATGTAACCATTGTGGTAAAGACAAATTCTCTTGCAGAACTCAAAGGTACCAAACATAACTCCAAAATATGGAACTACCTGTTTAAAAATAAAATGAAAATCATGTTAAAAATCTTAAAGAGTGTCAGTGTGTCTGCAATCAATTTGAGTCAGGGTAAACTGAGTTAAAGGCTGTGGATAATACAACATAGTAATTCTTTTTGGGAATCAGAGAGGATAGGGGTGGGGGTGAGGAATGGCAGAGCAGTTGAAGGGCCCTGGAGAACACAGGTCTGGATTAATATGCAGGTAGACAATCTGACACTTCTTGTCAACATATGCTTGTCTTGACAGAAGCCATTTATGTGTCAATTAGTACAAGGTTTAGTCCAGAGTTCTTTTTTCCCCTCATAGAACGTAATATGTGAATTTTTTTCTTTTTTCAATCCTCTCCTGAGCATATGTTTAGAGAGTGGAAGGGAGAGAGAGAGAGAGAAACATCGATCAACTGCCTTCCGCATGAACTCCGACTAGGGATGAAACCTGCAACCTAGGTAATTGAACCCACAACCTTTTGGTGTACAGGATGATGCTCCAACCAGCTGAGCCACCCGGCCAAGGCAGTCTAGAGTTCTTAACCTTTTTTTTGGTCATGGAGTTTTTTTGGAATACAGTGAAAGCTATGGATCCTTTCCCCAGAGAGAGGCACACATGCACACACATCTGCATTTTCGCATACAATTTTAGGATGGAGGGTTAGGTTCCCTTTGGGAGTCCATGAACCCCCATGGTAGGAACCTGTACACTAAATGGTCAGCTCCTTCGGGATGGGGTATCAGATGCCCCAACACTGCACAGGGTCCTCTCTCTTCAGGGCTGACAGCTAGGCTGCACTTGAGGGCCTTGGGCTACCATCAATGCTAGAGGGGCAAAGGAACAGACTAGAACTAGAAGAGGCAGAGAAACAGTAGAGACTGACCACTTTTCTCACCTTCAGTAAGTTGGCTGCCAATCCATTCCAGAGTCCCAGTACCCCATGGGCCTTCACTATCTGCCGGAAGCAGTCCGTGGCTCCTGAGAAATGGACATCTACTCCTCCACAGCGGGGAAGAAAGGGGCTCTGAGCCTGACAGGAAATAGGAGTTGGGATGAGGTGATGTAGTCACCAGGAGATAAATGTTCTAGTCAAATTAGCTAAGGTCTCAAGTCTGGATTCTGGATGCCATGCTCCTGTCTAAGAGGATGGCAAAGAGAAAGGCTGTCATGGGGCTCCTCTTGTTCCATAGGCTTAGAATGAATATGAACATGCAGTAAAGTCATGGCACGTTGCTCACAAATTTGTGGCTTATTTTGCTTGGAAGGAAGCAGCCATTTGGGACAGACTCAACTTTACAGTTAACGTTCCTTCCCAACTTATGCCTTCTAGATATGTTCAACACACACTCCCATGCAGTTAACCTTTTTGAAGTGCTCCCATTTACTTGTCTTAACTGATTCATCCCCTTGTTTATTGTTTACTTTTAAAAATAGTAACAAACTCACAGATACAAAGACATCAATTTTTATTATTTTTTAAGTTGATTGAGAGAGAGAGAGAGAGAGAGAGAGAGAGATATTTGTTGTTCCACTTATTTATGCATTCATTGGTTGATTCTTGTATTGCCCTGACTGGGGATGAAACCTGTAACCTTGACATATCAGGACGATGCTCTAACCAATTGACCTACCCAACCAGGGTCTCATCCTCACCTCAGGCCCTGCCCCCCCCCCCCCACTGAACAATAAATATTAAAAATAAATAAATAAATAAAACCATCCATGATTGGAATCACTCCTAGAGACTGCGATTTAACTGACCTAGGTTGAGACCTGGACATCAGCATTTTGGCAAGCTCCTCAAGTGGTTCTGATGTGCAGCCAGAGTTGTGTAGGCCCTCCAAAGCACAAGGCTGCTCAGGGCTCAGACCTGAATCTCCTAGTTTGCTGCTGATACTGAGAGTGCTTGGGAAAAGGACATGGGCCCTAAAGCCCGACTGTTTGGACTGAGTCCCTGCTTTGCTGCTCATTAGCTCTGTGGCCTTGAGCAAATGCCTGAGCTTTCTGAGCTTCAATTTCCTCATCTATCCAATGGGGTAATAATAATACCTACCTTATAGGATTGTTGTCAAGATGAAGTGAAATACATATAAAATGCTTAGAACAGCCTTTGACATATAGCAAGCACTAAAAAGTAACCACCATTATTAATATCATTATTATTTATTATCTAAACTTGGAGAAGAGACAAGTATGCTGAAAACTAGACTGGAATGTTAGACTGCCATTTACCCAAACGGTATCTTCCTAGTAAAGAGAAACAAACATGTCAGGCTGCTAGTCACAGGACCTGAACTTAAACACTCCCACATGATCCCAGGCACTTATCCCACAGATGTTTAGTTTAGTTCTATAGATCCCAGGATGGGCATGCTGCTTTTTTTCCCCTTTGAAGTTTGTTACTATTTTTCTTAGAAGACTAAAAGTGAAGGTAACAGTAGGATTAAAAATTGGTAAAATATTTCTAAAACATAACAAAGCAATGGACAAAATTATATTATATAATTTGTAAAACAATCAATAAATAGTATAAAAGTAGGAAAGAGGAAAGTACACTATAAAATATTTTTAAACTAAAATGATAAAATGCGGTCAATTGCAACTCATACTCAATATGTGCTAACTTCTGATAGCATTGTAAACTTTCTTTTTTAGTTTTCAGTATATTTTTCTGTTTATGTCTTTTAAAAAATCTTTGTTGAAAGTATTACAAATGCCCCCCCCCCTTTCTTTTCCCTTGTTCCCCATACCCTCTGTTCCAACCCCACCCCATGCCTTCACTACCTATTGTCTGTGTCCATGGGTAATACATACTAGTATATGCATATAAATTATTTGGTTAATGTCTTCTGCCCTCCCCCCCCACTCCCACCCTGAGATTTGCCGGTCTGTTCCATGTTTGCAGGGCATGCTGATTTTGCAGCATAGCACCATCTGAAAAGAAATCAGAGGACACAGGTCCTACTCCTGGCTGTGCCACTATCTGTATAACCTTGACCAAGCCGTTTAGTTCTTTGAATCTAAGTTTGTTCACATGTCAAGTGAGGAAATTGGAATTAAATGACCTTGAAGGCCCTGTCTTGAGCCTATAATCCATGCTGTTGGCCCTACTGTACGTTCCTGACAATAAGCCTTCAAACCTGCCATTTCCTCTGCCTAGCTGAGTCTCTCTTACTGATCAGAATACATATCACTTCTTCCAGGAAGTCTTCTCAGATCCCCAAAGTCAGGAGTCTAGTAAACACATTTGGTCACCCTGTACTTCTCCTTTATGGCATGTGACACACTCTGTAATGATTTGGTGTATAATTATTTCTTTCATGTGTACTGCCCCCAACAACCCCGGCCTCCTGAGCTGTAAATACCATGAGGGCAGTGACCATGTCTGCCTTGTTTGTGGTTTTATTCTCAAAGCCTACCAACATGCCTGGCATGTAGCATGTGCTTAATACATATTGGGGGAAAGAAGAAAACTTGCAGTAGATCGCAATAAAAGACAAATACTTCAAAGAAAGCCAAGCATTTGATGGTTTCTGTGATAAACTTCACAGAGGCCTTCCAGCAGAGGTAACATTTCAGGTCGTTCATTCTTTCCATGAGTACTAAAATAAACAATATTTTATAAATGTATAAAACTCATACCCTTTGACCAAAGCAATCCTACTTCTAGGAATTTATTCTACAGATATATTTGTCCATGTGAGAACTGACGCTTTTTTTTTGTTTTGTTTGCTTATTTATTTATTTATTTATTTATTTATTTTATTGTCTAAAGTTTTACATATGTCTCCTTTTTCCCCAATTGATCGCCCCCCTCAGCCATTCCCACCCCAGGCAAGCCCCCACTGCCCCAGTGTCTGTGTCCATTGGTTGTGCTGATATGCATGCATACAAGTCCTTTGGTTGATCTCTCTCTTTTTTTTTAAAGTAGCTTCTATTCTTGTTCATCAATTTATGTTGATCATTATATCCCACATATGAGTGAGATCATGTGATATTTATCTTTCTCGACTGGCTTATTTCACTTAGCATAATGCTCTCCAGGAGAACTGATGTATTTTATAAGGATTTTTGTTGCAGCATTATTAGTAACAGCAGAAAATTGAAAATAATTTAAATGTCCACTAATACGGGGCTAGTTAAAGAAACAGTACATCTGTTATGCTAAGTGAAATAAGTCAGACAGAGAAAGACAAATACTGTATGATTTCATGTAAAAAAAACAAAACAGAAACAAATTCATAGATACAGAGAACATTTTGATGGTTGCCAGATCGGAGGGGGATTGGGGAGATGGGTGTAAAGGGGAAATGGTTAATATCCATAGCACTGACACCATCAAAATGCTGGCGAGTGTGTAGAGCAACAGGAACTCTCATTCATTGCTGGTGGGAATGCAGAAAACCGTATAGCCACTTTGGAAGACAGTTTGGCAGTTTCTTACAAAATGAAACATTATGCTAGATCTTGGTATTTACACCAATAAGTTGAAAAGTTATGTCCATACAAAAACCTGCACATGGATGTTTATAGCAGCTTTATTCATAATTGTCAAAGCTTGGAAACAACCATGATGTCCTTCGTTGTCCTTAGGTGAATGGATAAATAAACTGTGGTACATTCAAACAATGGAATATCATTCAGTATGAAAAAGAAATGAGCTATCAAGCCATGAAAAGAATGGGGAGAACTAAAATGCATATTACTATGAAAAAAGCCAATCTGGGTGCAGCCACTGTGGAAAGCAGTATGGAATTACCTCAAAAAATTAAAAATGAACTACCATATGACTTAATGATTCCACTTCTGGGAATATATCCAAAGAAACCTGAATACCAATTTGAAAGAATATATGCACCTCTGTATTCATTGCAGCGTTATTTACAGTAGCCAAGATTGGGAAGCAGCCCAAGTGTCCATCAGTTGATGAGTGGATAAAAAGCTGTGGTACACCCTAGCTGGTTTTGCTCAGTGGATAGAGCATCGGCTTTCGGACTGAAGGGTCCCAGGTTTGATTCTGGTCAAGGACACATGCCTGGGTTGCGGCTCAATCCCCAGTAGGGGGCATGCAGGAGGCAGCTTCTATCTCTGTTTCCCTGTCCCTTCCTCTCTGAAATCAATAAAAATATATCTTTTTAAAAAGCTGACGTACACGACTCCCATGCAGGCCCTTGCACAACACTCCCTTGAGCATTAACCCCTAGGAACAGGAATAACATCTAGGCCTCAGTGGTGTTAAAGCTCAAGGCCCAGAGGAGCAGTAAAACCAGACAAGCAAAGCCATGGCTGACATCAGGACCAGCACGAGGGGAACCTGTCCCCGCTCACCAAGCACGCCACTTTCCCGGAGAATTGGCTAATGACCCCTTGCCCTGGTGCCAACTAATAAGCGGAGAACGTGACCCTGAAAGGACACACCTGGAGAGCTGGTGAATCTTCCATGGAGATCCTCTCCAAGGACCTCCCCTAAAATCCCCACCCTTATAAGCCCTCAGGACAGAGCACCCAATGCCGTGCTCTCTAGGAGCACACGAACCCTTCCCCACCCTCTTTCCCCTGGCAATTTTTCCTGTCGCTCTTTTTCCTAAGCTCCTGGGCCCTTTGTAACTTGCTCCTGAGCCCACACAGCTCAGATGGCTCACATCTTCTACCTCTGTGACTTTCTAAATAAACTTTCTCTTATAGTTGGTCTTGGCTCTGAATTCTTTCTTAGCCAGAACTCAAGTACTCAGGTTGCTGGCTAGAGGTCTGGTCTGACGCCACTGGTCTAACACCTGGTGCCGTTCTCCCAGTCAACAGCTATCTCTGGCAAAAAAAAAACAAAAAAAAAACTGATGTACATTTACACAACGAGATATACTCAGCCATAAAAAAATAGGGAAATCTTACCCTTTGCAACTGCATGGATGGACCTGGAGAGTGTTATGCTAAGTGAAATAAGCCAGTCAGAGAAAGAAGAGTACCATATGATTTCACTTATATGTGGAATCTAATGAACAAAGTAAACTAACAAACAAAATAGAAACAGAC